TTCTACAGATAAATTAGAACCAAAAACCAATGTGCTTGTAAAGCTAAAATATCTATGAGATTAAATTATTGTATATAAGACCAAACTGAACATAATGGGACAAGAAGATATATATGAATCATCAGGCTGAATCATCAGGCTAGAACGCATAACAATATCTCAATCTTCAGCATTCAGAAAACGAAGGAGGAGAAGGAGAAGGAGAAAGTGGCCTGAAGTTGTTTAAACAGTGGATACAAGTTAAAACTTTAAAAAAAAAATATAGCTTAAATAGGGACGACCAAATAGGACGCCGATACAAGTTTTACTCCCTTTAACTAAGCCACTGTCTAGGAGTCGTCAGTTCATTTTTCAACAAGCACGCTTTGACTTTGATGAAAAATATTCCGTTAATTATGGAAAAGGCAGAGATTTAACTTATGGCCCTACCACTGCACAGTCCACACCGTCTACTGCCACCCTTACAATAAAGGCCAAATTATTAAAAGAAAAAGTTTACTAAAATAGTCATAGCACTATATACTTTATCAATTGTTGGAAGATGTGGTTTGTAGTTCATTTCACCAATTAAACACTAGCTTCTGCACTTAGTTGGCCTACCCTTTTGGCATTTGTGATGGACCAAAGGCCAAGTGTAGATATAGGAACATACCAATTGTGAATGGCATATTTTCAAATTTTGGAAGAAACAAACAAGTGAGCTGAGGTTCCTAATTTTTTATTGGGATATTATCGCTTTTAATTCGTGTCAAAAACTATTTATATTCGTTATTCGAAAAAATGCATTAAATTTGAATATATATATATATATATATATATATATATATATATATATATTTTGGCTGTTATTTTGAAAGCGACTATACAATATTATTTTTTTATTTGTACAAAATAGGATTAAGATCTACGTACACATTACCGTTCCCAAACCCCTGAGAATATACTGAGTATGTTATTATTGGCGGAAAAAACAAACACTGATTGAATGGTCATGTTGGCAATGCTTGTTGTTATGTTCTAATCTATTCATTTTCACTTTATTTGCCTCTAATTTACAACTTTGTCTGTTTCAATTTATGGGACGTACTTTAATTTAGGATGAAGTTTGTAGTTTTAAAATACGACTTATGAATCTCAAGGATTACCTCAATCAACTAAACGAAAGAAAATACAAAATAATATATATATATATATATATATATATATATAGGGGGAAACCACCGTTTAATCCCCACTAATACCTAAGATTTCACTGATTAATTCTACTAACTAACTTACCTAACGGGTTACGATACCTTATAAATATTACTTAATTCATTCTCTAACCTATTTTAACTCTTACTTTAACTAAACAGATATAAACAAAAAAACCTAATCAGTGTTTTTCTGTAGTTTTATTCATTATTAGTCCCCTCCACTTTTTTTTACGTGATTTAAGCCTCCATGACATCATTTTTTAACACGTATAGTACGAGAAAACATCTCTTGACTTTCACAAATCTACCCAAAAATAACGAATCTAAAAACTCTTACAAAATTCTTCTCCTCATCCCCACCAAAAAACAAGTTAAAAAAAAAAAACCCTTAGCAAATTCAGACCAAAAAATCCTCATACTTTTAGCTACTTATATATATCTTAATTAAACAAATTCCAAAAAGGGGTTACAATTTTCTTGGTTTCTTGAATTTTTTTTTTCATTTTCTTGAAAATTTTAAGGTACCAGTTTCACTCTATAGTTTTCAATTTCCCTCTATTTTCTCTGTTTTTTTCTTCTTCTTATGGCTTTGTATAATAGGAAGATGTTAGTTATAACTAAAGATAAAATGGCTATTTGTTTAAGTTGTTCACCAGAAAGATGTCCTACTGAATGTGGTGTTGGTCCATTTTTACCACCCCCTTCTAATTCTGTTACAAATGAAAATCATCATATGCCATTTTATTTTATAATTATGCTTTGTGTTCTTGGTGCAATTTTTGTGTTTATTTGTTATATGATTACTCTTAAGAAGTTCAAAATGAATACAAGAAGAAGTTCTCAAGATTTGAGTGGAAATAGTGAAGATTTTCTTGATGAAAATCATGGGCCAATTTTGGATCATCCAATTTGGTATATACATACAATTGGATTACCACAATCGATAATCGAATCGATTCCTGTGTTTAGGTTTAATAAGAAAGAGGGTTTGATTGAAGTCACTGATTGTTCTGTTTGTTTGAATGAATTTGAAGAAGATGATAGTCTTAGGTTGTTGCCTAAATGTAGTCATGCTTTTCATGTTTCTTGTATTGATACTTGGTTGGTTTCACACACGAATTGCCCCGTGTGTCGTGCTCCTATTGTTTCTGATTTAAATGCTGCATTGCAAATGAACAATGTGGAAATTTCCTCTACTGGTGTAAATGATTTTAGTTCAAGTGATGTTAATCCAGTGGAGAGTAGAAATAGTGGTTATGATTTGGAAAATCAAGATTTGAGGGAAGATGAAAGTCGCGAAATGAGGCTAGGAGGTGAAAATCTTGATGTATTGACTAATGAAGAAGGGAAAGTTATCGGAATTTTGGAGAAAATACATGATGTTTTAGATGAAAGGGGAAAAGGGTTGCGAGTATTTAGTGATTTAGATGAGCGTTGCGTGAAAGTAAACGATGAATTGCAACCAACACGGAGGTCTATTTCAATGGATCCATCAGTTGTTTCATTAGTACGTTTTGCTATGAGTGAAACGAACGTGAAAAATGGCGAAGGGTGTTCAAATTCAGATGATCAATTGGTTGAAAGGACGGAAAATTCTGATATATCAGCAAAGAGAGGAAGTAGAAATTCGAGCTTATATGAAGCGATGAAGAGTTCTTCCTTCGGTCGTTCACTGCAAAAAGTGCCAATTTGTATGATCAAGAGATCATTTTCTACTAGTGGAAAGTGTTCAGTATCCACAAGTGAAAAAGAGGTCAAGAATCAAGAAAATCAATGTAAGTGAAGCTCAAAGATTTTGATTCTTGAATATCATAAGGGGTTCAAGTTTTTGTATTTGGAACCCTGTCAAAAAACATATTGGAAAATAATTTCCACTTAATAAGAACTCATGAACAGCTGAATTGAGCTGATTCAGAATCTTCAAAG